TTTAACTTTTGAGTACCTTATTCATATTATGGATTTAATGACCAAAAAGTTACCTCTCCACCAGGTGAAAATAATCTTTTTCCTTTCTGTTTCCTCAGAGCGTTTTGTCGATGTTTTGTAGCAGACGGTAATGGCGAAGCATTCCCCCTTTCTCTCAGCTGTTATGAGTCAGGCTGCTGATCATCACAACTATAACCCCTCTCCTCCACCCCCGGCCGGAGTTACTCTGATGCGCTGGAAGTCAACACTACTGGCAATGCCCGGGAGTGCGAGATTCCAAATTACACAGACAGGATAGGGGCGGGAGTTAGAAGGTGGAGTCAATGACTGGCTTATTTGGGGTACATAAGACCAACCTCTCTCCTCAACTCCTCGGAGTCTTTCTTTCTCCAGACCTGCTCCATGGGATCAGACTGAGGTTCTCCTTGCCGTGTTCTGTTGTGGCTTCCCTCACATATTACACCTGAGAGCATCCACTCAATATAACATTTACATTAAAAACCCATCTCAGACTCTGCTTTCAGGGAACCAGACCCAAGACATTTCCGTTAGAGTACCTGCCACTCTTTAACTCTTTAAGTTCTGTGAATATCTGCTTGAATGATGATATTTCGGCATATTGCCCCACCTATTGGGGCATTTTGCATTTTAAACTCTACTAATGATTACATCCAAGAAAACCCCATGTCACAATTCTACTCTGTAACACACGGGGTTGTCCTGGGTCAGAATCCACTCGACATCAACTAACCACAACAGCAATAACAACACCTTAAGAGAAAGACATGAAACTATGAAGATTAAAATTTTTGTCCTTGTAGGTGATTCTTTTGCACACCAGAGGCCTTTCTGAAGTCACATCCTTGGCTGGGGATGCTGCTGTAGTCCAACCCAAGTACCCCAAGCATTATTAATCTTTCCTCATAGTTTCTCTAAATAAATGTGTGAATCAGAAACTTAAAAATGCTGTTATATAGGTCAATAATCATTAGACAACCAAATAAAATCAAGCCACCTACCCACTTGTTTCTCTATTGATATGCTTCTGTTTACTGTCCCTCAAAGGTGAGGGCATTTAGGAGAGTGGTAAAGAGATTCTGTTTTGAAATGTAAATATTTGAAATTAATATTTGTAATTTTTATATATGAAATATTTTTCCATTTGAAATATTTTTCCATAGGAAGTATAATTTATGAAATATTTATATATGAAATATTTTTCTATTTGAAATATATTTACATGTGATATATATTTACACATGAAATATTTTTATATAAGAAATAATTTTATACATGAAATGTTTTTATAGATGAAATGATTTTATAAATGAAATGTTTTTATTTATGTATTTTTATACATGAAATACTTTACATATAAAATATGTTCATGTGAAATACTTGTATATATGAAACATTTAGTAAATCTTTTCACAAGTTTTTATAATAGTGGTCTCATACAGTACTCATTTGTCCTTTTGTGATTGACTTATTTCACCCAGCATGCCTTCCAGATTCATCCATGTCATGAGATGATTCATGGATGCATGATTGTTCTTTATTGTTGTGTAGTATTCCATTTTGTGTATGTAGCATAGTTTGCTTATCCATGTGTCTTTTGATGGGCACTTAGGTCTGGTGTTTTGAGGTGAATTTGAGTTCTGCGCCACAATTTTCTCCCGCTCCGTCAGGGAGTCTCTGCTGTGTTCCCTGTCAGGGCGGTCATTGATGGTAGCCAGGCACAATCTAGTTTCTTCTGGTCTCAGGCTGATGGAGTCTCTGGTTTATGTGGCCCCTTTGTCTCTTGGGCTAATGTTTTCCTTGTGTCATTGGTATTCTTCATTCTCCTTTGCTCCAAGTGGGTTGGGACCTATTGATGTCTGTAGATAGCCACTAGCAATCTTTCAAGACCCGACGCCTCTCACCAAAGCAGGGTGCAGCACGTTTGCTTAATAAACTTTGTTATGCCAATTGACCTAGATGTCCCTGGAAATCATGATTCCCACCTCTCAGCCCCAGCTACTCTGTCCCTCAAAGTGTTTGGTTGTGTTCAGGAAACTTCTTAGCTTTTGCTTTGGTCTAGTTGTGCTGACTTCCTCCTGTATTGTGTGTCATCCCACCATTCACCTAAGACGATTCTTGTCTACTGTCTAGTTAGTGATTTCCTCTGTGCCTCCGTCCCCATCCTCATAACCATCAAAGAGTGCTTTTTTCTTTGTTTAAACCTTTTCTTGAGTTCTTACACTAGTGGTCTCATACAATATTTGTCCTCTTGTGACTGACTCATTTCACTCAGCATAATGCCCCCCAGATTCATCCACGTTGTTAGATGTTTCACGGATTCACCACTGCTCTTTATCGTTGCCTACTATTCCATTGCGTGAATGTAGCATAATTTGCCTATCCATTCATCTGCTGATGGGCATTTAGGTTGTTTCCATCATTTTGCTATTGCGAATAGGGCTGCGATGCACAGGGGTGTGCATACGTCTATTCGTGTGACGACTCTTATTTCTCTAGGATATATTCCTAGGGGTGGGATTGCTGTGATATTTCTATTTCTAGCTTTTTAAGGCAGTGC